CGCCACGCCCCGAGTCGCGCGGAGTGCGAGGTCCCGCCCAATGCTGCTTGCAGCTTTAATTTAATTTGTCTTTGTCACACTGAAATGCCATTTATTTTAATCCTTTACACAGATTTTGTGATTACAACTCAGGTGTCATTCTGTGGTTGTGTGCATATGCTCAACAAAACAGGGCTGTTTACTGTGCATGGAGGTTCAGTTTAGTTCCAGTGAGGAACAGGAAGGTGGATCAACCAGGCAGTATAGGGCTGTTGTTGTGATTTTTGGGAGGTAAGCTTGTTAACTCCGCCATTAGCCTCTGTGATGTACAGTTAGTGTAATTCTCACATAACCCAGTCCATCAAAAAACCTTTTAACACAGGAAGACCAATTATTGCTTCTATCACATGATGAGGTCAATAATTGTGTAAATGTTTTGGAAGTTTGGTTTTAAGGAAGACTCATTGTGTGGCAGATGTCAGATCTTTGATATAAACCACTCACTTAGGTCAGCCATGTCTACAAAGCAACAAAAACCTCAAGATACCTCTTCCATCTTCCACCATCTTCACCATTTTTACTTGAAGTTTATTGTTCACAATATGTGAGATCCAGTCTGAAGTTAAGTCAATTTAATTTGCAGATAAATAATCACAAACCGCCTCTAAGGGCATACTGATCTCTACAACATATGACACCCTCCTGTCCACTGTCCTTATGCTCTCCACTACCAGCTCTGTACGTAGTTTACTAGATTTCTGTCTGGTGTCTGGAGGTGATTTCCCACCGTGTTTCCCACACCTATCACTCATGGAATGTTGTGGCTGCAGTTGTGGAGCTGAACAGTCATGAGGATGTTTGGTGCATACATCACTTTTGTTTGGCTGTCCGGTCATGACTTAGTCGGTTTACATTTTTGGCATTTAGAGGTCGCTCTCCCAGGGTGCTTTGCATTGCGGTCAGCAGTAGGATAAGCTTTAATACCTTCTGTATATTACTACCATGACAAGTAACTAATAGCGAGGAGGTCATCAATTTAATGTCTGTGATTGTAGACAGATCACATAAAGTTTGGGAAAGGGAAATCATAGTTACATTTCCGTAACAGCATGCCTTTTTTCCAATAAATATACCCTTTCAGTTTTTTTTTTTTTTTTAGAGTCTAATCAAGTTTTTAGGATGACTTATGGAGCAGCAAGGTTGCATACTGATTAAGAAAACCCTTGGGCATAAAAGCATCCACATACACCCCATTTACACCTGGTATTAAAATGCAATCTGTACTTGAACATTTTATCCAAACAATCAACAATCTGATACCTTGATATTTACATTTGCATTTACACCTGGTATTTGTAATATGTTCTCCTTATTCTCATTGAGATTGGATCTCTATCCTCCTGAGCAAAATCTGTGCTTGAGTAATTTGAGTGGTGGAAAATCAGCCTTAGACTCTCTGTTTAGTGAGTTGTTGAGTTGGGGAAAACTTTATAAACTTTATAAATGCACAGCATGGCAAATTCCTAAATATTTTACCTCTCGTAAATTCAGCAAGTTATCTATTTCTTTGTTTAAAAAAATATTGTGTCAGTTTGTTATTTCTTATTGTATATTATTCATTTCCCACACATGTTGCTTTCATTTGTCATATATTTCTGTTGAATAACGCATCTTTTGGCACTTCCATGGCATAGAATAGGCGTATAATCAGGCGAGTCTGTGAAGCTTTCTCGCTTGCATGCTTACATTTTAATACAAGGTGTAAAGGGGATATTTGTGTCAGTTTGTGTCCTTGATTAAAACACTTGGACATTACCATCTCCATGACCTGTCTGTGGAAAAGGGGGGAGCAAACAGAGAAGATAATTTGTCTCAATCTCACATTTAATATTATATTTTACTCCACAATTCTCTCCATCTGGGAGGCTCTGTGACTGCCAGAGGTGTTTCAGTCTGTGTAGAAGCTGATTTTTCTGGTAAGTGCATACTTAAGCAGCAGCTAATGACTTCCAGACTGATTCTGATCATTGAAACATGTCAGCATCACATGTAACATCTGTTGAAATGTTACAGATTGCTAAATATCACATTCTGTGCAGTGGAGCTCATCAAAGCACCGCATTCCCAGGGTTAGGGTTAGTAAGCACACGGTTCATTCACAGCATTTGCGTGCAAAGTGAAGTGGATTATTCCCTCTATCTGACCCTGTGAACTTTATTTATCCCCTTAGAACTTCCCCTTATGTTTCCTCACGTCCCATTTACAGGATATTCTGTCTGCTTTTCCAGCAATTCCTTGAATTGATGTCACATGTCTGATCAGTAAAACATTTGAATGATATACTGCATTATTTTATGGTTGCACCATTAAATCAAGTTGAAATGGCACAGAGCCCCTTACAGCGTCATGTAATCCACATATCGATTTAATCCAGCCTTAAGTATTCTGTGTTTTTGGAATCCCCTGGGAAGAGGTCAAGCAAATGTCAAATGTGTATCTGTTACAAATACTTATACGTATAGAGTTAATATTGTTCTAAAACAGCTGTAAACATAAGCTACTGTGTGCAGTTTACTCAACATAATCTTTCCATTTGGGGCTTCCAGTGTGCAAACATGCCTAATTCAGTCTAAAACATGTTACAAGTACAGAAAGTCCTCACATTGTAACAATTCTTTTTATTCAATTTGTTCTACGCACTCTACCTTAACCTTACATTACTACTTACTGTCTGCACTATATTTGTATATTTGTGTTGCTGTGTTTGTTAATTTGTCGTGCTCTAATTCATTACAGACGATGAGCGACAGGCCATTCATCCAGAAACTGTTTCGGCCCATTTCCTCTGAAGGCAACGTGCACACACTTGGCGACCTGCTGAAAGAGATGTGCCCAGCTGCTTTACCAAACGACGGTACGTCTGCACACAGACACACACACACACACACACAGTGACAAGGACGGTCAAAGTATTCCACCTACACTCTTTTTGGACAGTCAATAGCATGATCTTTAGTAATGTGTGCCCATCTCTTACTGTGAATGCACATAATAATAATAATAATGCGTACAACAATGCATACAAATGATCATATTACATGCCAGACATAACCAGCAGCTAATAGTAAGAAGTACAGTAGCAGCCATGTTTTATTTTTAGCTTCCTTATCAAATAAAGGCCTTGTCATCTTCCAGAAGTGAGAGAAGAAAAGGAGCACCTCTCCTCTCCTTTATTTTATTTACACAGCCACACGAGGCATGTCAGAGATCCACTCTCTCAGATAATACCCACTGAGGGGGGAGAGCTAGATGAGGGAAAATAGTGGCAGTTGCCAGACCAAGTGAACAAAGATGTGGGAGGAGGAGAGGAGATAATGGGCAGATAGATAGCAAGGAGACACAAAGAGAGCAAAAATGAGAGCAAACTGCAGATGTGATGTTAAGTCAGAGCGCCCCAACAGGAAGTGGTGATGAAGAGAGCTGGAGTTTAAACACGTCAAAACCACAACCACAACCATATCTCTCTTAAATCCAGGCAATAGGCAGTGCATGTAAGTTTTCTGTTGACACCCCAATAGAAACTTAATGTTTTATTCTCTGCTTCAATTCTTTTATTCGATTTATTTGTACTAACAAAGCATAAACACTGCTAACAAATGAAATAAATGAATAACAGATAACTAAAACATCCAGAAGTTGTAGGCTTTTATAGCCAACCTCCCCTAAAATAGATACAATATAAAGAACATAAATAGAGGGAAAATAAATGCTCGCAAACAAAGTAAAGGATAACAGGTGACCCAAAATGAACAGATCAGTGCAGCACCAATCGGCTAACAATGTTCATATTATATTTTATATTTAAGATGAATTAATAGTTCCATCAATATCTAAATAATAAAAGCAAACTAAGCATTTCATTCCATACACAGATGCACTTAAAAAGACTGATGCTGTGGCAGAATAAACAAAACTCAGTTGAATACTTGATTTCTCAGGACAAACATCAAGAACAGTGCGTGGACAGACATATTTTAGTTCTAAAACAATCATTATAAAATATAGAAGAGAACTGTGTGCAAAATATCCCACATCCCATGAAACGTGCAGCACAAAACAACACGCAAGTTGTAAAATCCTAAAAACGCACAAGGTAACACTGTCCGTATCAGTTTTCTGTCAGTATCAGCAAACTGCAAAATATTGTCAAACAGATAGATGACTATACACACATACAGTAGATACTATATATTATCCATGTGATTCAACCTTTGAATATACATATGGACAGCAGGTTTGGCATATAAGCACTTATGGCATATGGTTGAGTTGCAGCTGTGGCGGAGGTGTGGTGAAAATGAAAGAGATGAGAGGAGAGAGAGAGAGAGAGACTGAGACTGAGACTGAAGTCTAAACAGGCAATGTCTGCAGTGGAGGAGAGAGGAAGTAGATAAGGAGACAATAGTGTGTTAGGACAGAGGACCCGCAGGAGACTCACCTGCGCGGAGGAGACAGAACCATTAACGGCCCCCCTCTCCTCCTCTCCTTCCTCCTCATGCTCACTTTCCTTTTCTATTGGTTTTTCTACAAATCTCTTAAAATGCTATTGTTAGAGGTCTTATTTTTTATTTTTTGCACTCTGCACTGACATGTTGCTTCCACTCCATTCAGATCAATGTAACCCAGGAAGCGTTAGCTGTGTCCTCATTCTATGCAACCCACTAATAGACTTAGACTTAGTCTTAGTCTATTAGTGGGTTGCAGCATATTAATAGCATACAGTATGAGCTTTACACCAGATTTCTATAGTATACTAGTAGTATACTTTTCTGCAGTTATTAAAGTACATTATTGTCTTTTTAGAAATGGTGTGCACCAAACTGTGACGGTGTCATTTCAAAAAGAGGAAGCAAAATGTTGGTCCCAGTCAGGATTCAGTGCATTTAGATGCACCTACTAACCAGATTTACTGTTAGATGCATGCACTGTAGTAACACCACAGCAGGTCAGTGATCGTTTCTTTTTCACCCCATAAGTAAAATCATTTGTGAGAAAAAAGAAGCACAATTCTATAAGATCACTCAATGAACACGAGTGAGTGGTGTGTTTTAGTTCAGCAAGGACAAACGCATTGAATAAATGCTGTTGTTGTAGTTTGTATATTTTTTTAGGCAAGGCCTAAAAGTAAAAAAAACAATCTTTTTCCACCAGGAAATATCAGATATCTATTCTTTGTACAAGTCTCTGTCATGGTTTACAGCCTTTAGTTGATACATTTCAGACCTGCCAATCTCTTTGTGTTTGGCTTCAGGCAGAATGAATAACAGGCATCAGCTGATCAATAACAGCTGTAAGTACTAGGATGTTATTGAACGATTCTTGGACGGTTTTTCTAACACTAATCCTCTCCAACCCAGTTGTTACAAATTACGTATTTTGAATTCTAGTTTTTAAAAATTCTGCTTAAACTTTTTCTTGGAGTCATAGGATATCTCTGTCTCCACCAAACAGTCTGTTCCTTTCTTTCTCTATAGTTTCCCTGATCTAAGACTCCTTTTCTCCTCTTTGATCCTCTGTTGCTCTCTCAGGTGTAGTCTTCAACATCTTCCCTGTCTGCCGTAGACGTCTTTCATGTCTTTGACGTTAAATCTCTGCTTTTCTCTGCTCTCCTCCCTTCAGAGGAGTCTGCCAGCCAGCCTGGCTGATCAAGGTGAAAGTGGCCCTTTTGTCTCTTGTCGTTTGTTTGGTTTCCACCTCTTCCTCGGCTGGTAGATGAGTCGAGTGATAGCCGGAGATTATGGTGGTGTGTTTGGATTAGAGAGACCGGGACGTGTGTTCAGGGACTGGGCGGGGCGGTGGGGTTTGGGGGGGGTTTGCTGGTAGTATTGTTCAGGAGTTCAGAAGACTTTTTTTTCTTTTTCTGTCGGGACCCTAACATATAACAAAAAGAAGATCTGGGGTGCTCCACTTTACTCTGTGATCTTTCAAACATCAAATAACAAGGTTTTTCATACAATCCTCCCCTCTGTTATGTCTGAGGGAGGATTGGTGTTGACCCCTGTGGGACCCAGAAACCAGTTGCAGCAAACAAATGGGGGTGGCTTGAATTAGGAGGACAAAAGAAGAAGGGGATTCCCAAATCATTCTCAAGCAGTGGCCGAAAAGTCTGTGTTGCTGTGAGGCTGTTGTTTCCCCAGTGCTGCGGGAAAGAAGTACAAAACAATATGTTACTGTAACCCGCGGTCAGCTCTGACGTCTGTTGGAGCTGTCTTGTGTGTTTTGTTTTTTGAATCAGGTGTGTTATTGAGTAAGATTTGGGCAGGAATTTGGAACTGGTTTGCTCCAAAACTCGCAGCTAAAATGCTGATGCTGCCCACACATGTGTTGACAGGCAATTATCGTAAGCAAAGATTATTATTTTTTTTTTCAGGTTTTATCGGAGGTTAACCCAATCATGAAAAACCCCCGCATTGATCATTGTCTGTGAATAATCAGAGGAAACCCCCCACCCCATCTGAACCCCCCACCCCACCAACCACCCCCATCCCAACCCCTCCCTCCACTTTGAGTGACAAATCCACACGATACTTTGAGAATCCAACCACTCCTTCCCTCCTCCTCCCACGCCCCCTCCATCTCAGTCGCATCGGTGGTACAACCCACTCACTTCTGGCAGGCTTTGCCATGCTGGCTGTATGAGGAGCAAAAACAGTTTTTGCTGAAACAGGTTAGCTGTATGAGGGGCAAATACCATTTTTGCTGAAACAGGTTGGCTAACTTCAGAGGCTGGAGGGGGTAGTGTAGGTTTCAGTGGCTGTTCTGATCAGCAGATAGTGGATTATGGTTCATATGTGCAGGCGTGTGAGATATGAGACAGGGGAATTCAGAAAAAGGCTTGAAAGCCTGTGCTATGTCGTGTCTATTTTTGATTAAAATGTGGTCAGCAGAGACCTTTTGCTTTCTAATTCTATCTGCGCAGCTTTACTGTAAGAAGGCTTCGAAACCTGCAAGCGTTTTGGTAGAATTCAGGGAGACGTTTGGGTTGATTTTGACTTTCTCATTGAAATCAGCAAAACGTTTGGAACACATGTTGATATTCTCACTAATACTGTGATACAACTATCATTCATAACTCATCAGTGATGTTATTTCTAACAACACTAGTTGTATTACTAGTCAAATCAGTCCAAATTTAATTTTTGAGAGCGAATTTTTAACAGTGTCTATATTTAGCATGACTTTTTTGTTTATCTTTCTGGAGCCAGGCTAACAAATGTTTTGTATGGACAACAGTAGACGACATTTTGTTTTTTTGTCAATCAGAATCAGAATCAGAAATACTTTATTGACACCCGAAGGGAAGTTTGTCAAAAGTCAAAGGTTTTGCAGAAAGCAGTACTGAAACTCCATATCATATTGTACAAGTATCAAAACATTTCAAAGAATACCCAGGCCTTATACAGGATGTACAAGCAATTCTAATTAAATAGGTGCAGTATGTACAGAGTGGACAGAAGAAACAATATTAGAAATACAATATGAGATAAATGAAAGGTAAGCTATAATATCAAGTACATCAAGCATAACATCAACTACAAAGACAAAACACAAATTAGCTCACTAGTTATAAAAATACAGTATACAGTTAGAGAATAATGGTACACTATTATCTTTAGCTTTCCCTCACACCTAATCAACACATTATAAATTATCATGGTAACCGTTGTACACTGACAATCAATACAATACAGACATTTTTTACAGGTTTTTCTCTATCTATAGTTGGTGTGGTGTTTTTTGGGGTTTTGTTTTTAGCGTTCAACAGTATTTAGTTTAATAGAAAGAGGACTATCACTGTGGACAGGTTTGTACAGGAGTTGGACAGCTGACCTTAATCTCCAGCATCCACAAAAT